GTTACTATGATTACTATGGTCTAAGGGGGCGGTAATATAATGTTAGCTGAAAATTAAATAAGAGATATATTGTCACAATATTATTTACTCTTGGTTCCTATTATTTCATAACACATACATACATACAACGATGGAAAAAATAATAGAAACAACTTACCTGTACAAATATTACTAAATTAAAGTTATATTATAAGTTACTGAAACATAAAAAAGAATAAATGGGCCGAGCTAAAAACTGCACGGAAGAGGAGAAGAATTTAGTAATAAGTTTAAGAAAACAGGGAAATTCGATGAGTAAGATAGCAGATATGGTGGACTGATCCATAAAGAAGGTGTTTACTGCCCTTCATAGCGTAAAAAAACCAGAAAGACAACGTAGAAGACGAAAAATGACTGCAAGCGATCAAAGGCTTTTAATTTGACATTGCAAAGCAAACCTTTTTCTGTCCTCAAGAAAGCTGAAAACAGAATTGAATTCCGAGTAACAAGCCGAACCATTAGGCACAGATTGGCAGAAGCCAAACCTCCATCCAGAATACCTAGAAGGGTACCGCTGCTGAGCCTTAAAAACAAAAACAACCGACTTGCTTTTGCCAAAAAACATATTTTCCGTCAAGATTGGAAAAATATGCTGTAGTCTAATGAAACAAAAATTAATATGTTCGGCAAACAGTACGTAAAACGTCCTACAAAGACAGACTTTGATCCACAATACACGAAAAAAAAACGGTTAAGCACAGCGGGGGTTTCATTATGGTATGGGGCTGCTTCCCGGTGGAAGGCGTCGGTCCAATATTTTGGATAAAAAACAAAATGTGCGCGGTTGACTATGTAAACATATTACAGGCGATACGGCTTCCCTATGCTAAAGAGGAATTGCCACTGCGGTGGCAGTTACTGCAGGATAATGATCCTAAATATGCATCGAAACTGGTAAAGTAGTGGTTTAAGGAGGAAAACGTGCAGGTTATGGAGTGGCCGTCCCAATCGCCAGACCCCAACCCCATTGAACACCTTGGGGCAGACCTAACGAACAGAATCGAGCCTTTTGAAGCCAACAATAAAGGCGAATTGTGATGCCACATTCTAAAATCATGGTATTCCATTCCGAAAAGTGTTTGTGTAAACTTGGTTAATTCGATGCACCGAATATGCGAAGAGGTAATCAGGCAAGGCGGCGGTTCAATGAGCTATTGAAACAATAATATTTTTGTAAAAATTTTTGGGTCAAAGTTTAAATTATTAAGAAATAATACTTTCTATTATTTCTTCCAGACCACTTGCAAAAGAAGTCTAGATTTTAATTAACGTAAACAAAATGTGCGAAATCGGAATGTATTTGAAATGAAAGAGTTCTTCAAACAATAAAAAATTAAATGAAAGCTGTATGCTTCTATTATTTTTTTCAACACTGTATATCGCTAGTTTAGAGTGACAAGTTGCTAAGTCCCATTCTAAAAATTGTGCAGGAGAGGAAAAAATTTTCTTCAAGTATTTCGAACCATTTGAATGCAAAATATTGTATGTTTAAAGCAAAGCAAAACAACATACAAATCAGACGGATTCGATCATTATTTAAAGATTTCGGCTTATCGCATTTTCGTGGCTTTTTTGGACTTAGCAAATTTTCGTTTCGTTGAATATAAGCGAGAAAACATAAAACAGGGACCTTTACCCTTTTCGAATCGACGCATTCTTAATTGCTCTGAGCCTCCTGTATCAAAATATGAATTTTCATAAAAAATGGACTTAGCTACTTTTCAGTCTAAGCTAGCCAAATGTATGGTATAGTGTATGTATGGTACGGTAAAAACCGCCGATTTGTATTTCACTATTATAATAGTTATATTTTTAGGCTAACAATGCTATTAATTGTTTAAATTAGCTCTCTAATTTTAAGTTTTAATCTGCTGGAAGACTCTCAAACCAAGCAAAGAAAAATTATAATAAATTTGAGTTACGACGATATTTTACTATTAAACGAACCATTATAGGATCTCGTCTTACGAGTTAAAAAAAAAAACGGCCTTAGACCTATCTAGAAAGTTAATTAGCGTAACCAGACATACAAGACTAACTATGAAGGTTTTGTTCAAAGGATAAATCCTTGTCTTTGACAATATTCTTCATTAGAGGGCTAATTTAGAGAAAAGAGTTGGAACATTTATGTATATACTTCGCCGCCCAGCAAGAAGTACCTCTACAATATGATATATCCATATTATTTCATTTGATTTCTTATCTATTATGCAATGTAATATGTAATGATCGCGAAAAATCAAGGTCGTGTAGAGACAATTCAAATCACTTTATCAAGCTCAATAACTTAATTTTATAACTGCTGCTCTTGAAAAATCTGAAAGATATCTTATATGTATGCGCATACATAACGTTACGTTAATATAGAAAGACCCTATCTAACATTTTGGTTTCTTTATAGAGTAGTTATAAAACTTTATAAAAATGTAAGTCATTAAAATGCAATTTTATTCAAAACACTAATTTTTAGTAAATAAAATTTACGTATGTATGTACATAGTCACTTTAAAATTTATGTGCATATTTTGAAGATGTTATGCCCGCTCGTCTTTTTTTTATTTTGAAAGAACATTCAAATTGAGATTTCAATTTATTCCATGTTATCAGAAAAAAGAACGAACTTCCGCTAAAATAAATTTCCGAAGGTAGCTAACGGCATATAAAACGGCGCATGTAGTACATATTTAGTCCACATACAGTGACTCAAACAAGTGGCCACGTGCTGATTTTTTTTAAATATTCACAATGTTTTTCTATAAAATATTATTCAGGCTTTAACCCAAACCATATAAAGCAAAGTTTCAAACTTTATACAAAATTTTCATTAATATTTCAAACTTTTTAATCTGAATCTTTAAACGTTTTTGAAAATGCAGTTTTATAGCCCATACAGTTTTAGTTATATAGTTATAAGTAGGCGGTACCATGCCCATTTTCCAAAATACCGTAATAATTTTATTTTTTTAAGAGAATGTTGAGGGTATCAATTGAGTGAATTAGCGTTCTTAAATTTTGAAATATCGAAGTTTCGGTATTTCTTAAATCTTCCGTTATATGAAAAGTGGACGTAATTCTAGTCCCATTTCAAAAATTTCCAACGTCTTGTTTTTGTGTGTCAAGTACAATAACTATACCGAGCTTGATGGAACAGTTACAGAGATACACATATGTGGTCATAAGTGGGCGGTGCCGCGCCCATTTTCCAAATTTTTTTATAAATGTTTTTTTTCCAAAAGCAAATTAAAGTTATAATACACTTGTGCACAAGCGAGCTCGGGTATAAAAAAAGCAACACTTGGTTACTTGTTTGAGGCACTGTATGTATGTATATTTACACTAGGGTGATCCAAAATAACTAATCTAACCAATTTATCCCTTACCTTTTTACTGAGAAGAAAATTATCCCATTTAGACAAATTTTTAATCCAATTTTAAAAGGTGTCGGTGGGCATTTATAATTTTCCAGACAAATAACATGTAAAAAATGGTTTTCATTAAAAATGTTATAACTATTGAAATTTTTTTCTAGGCATATTCTATTAGGGCATTACATTTTCTAGAAAATTACCCTGAAGATGGTTGTACGATTGCAAAACCGACGTTGATTTTTATTTATTTTTTTCTTTGAAAACGGTTTTGCTCATTTTCTTCCACAAGAAAAAAGTGCAAAAAGCCGTCAGCATGAAGAATATTAAAAACGCAACGCAAATATTAAAAACGCAATTTTGCAGTAGCTTAAAACTTGCTTTTTATTATTTTTTTTTGAGATGGCATGTTTTCAAAAATAATTTTTTTTTTATCAAAAAATTTTTAGGTTAAAAATTTTTCAAGGTAAAATTTTTTTAAATATTTCTTTTCATATAGAATTTTGATGTGTGGTTTTTTCAAATTTTTTCCTTGTTTTTGTGCTGTTAAGTTTATAAAAATGTATTAATCAAGCTCAAATTTCATATTTGTTTATTATTTATGTTTATGCAACAACCCTTAAAATTTTAAACAAATCAAACACATGAAGTGTGAACCCCGTCCGTTTTGATATGGAACGCCCTATATACATTTTTGAGTCTAGAATAATTGGAGAATTTAATGCCCAACAAGAATATGCCAAGAAATTAATTTTATCTCGAACGGTTCAATAGTTATAACTTTTTTAATGAAAACAAGTTTTCTTTAATGGAAAATTTCAAATGTCCACCGACGCCTTTTAAAAGTGGAATACAAAATTTTTCCAAATGGGAGAGTTTTCTTCTCAGTAATTAGATCCTTTTAAGGCCATAAATTCGTTAGGCTAGTTATTTTGAATCGCCCTAATGTACACATATGTAACTATGTATGTAAGTAAGTAGAATAAAATGTTTCAGCGAACATACGCCCACCCGCTTCCTCCCGATCCACACATATTCGCGCAACCTTTGACGCCAATAGCGCAGAAAAAGTAAGCTAGGCATTCAAAATTCGAAACCATATGCCTGCAATTGAATTTAAGCAAATATGTACTCGTATTTGGCTGAAAAACGAAGGAAGCCGCGAAACCGCGATCGACGATCGAAAATCAACAACCAACAAAACGGCTGCTGTTTCGTCCGCTAACAGCGATGAGAAAGCGTTTTTTTTTAATGGAGAAATGGTGGAGCAACAACCTTGAATTGAAATTACAAATTTGAGAATCGTTTCGTCAACGCGAAATAAATCTTTTACGTAGGTACGATGTTGAACGCGAAGTTGTTGCTTGCTTTGTATTTTCTAGAGAATACTAGTTTAACGTAGTCGTACATACATATGTATGTCAACACAGTTGACTGGATGACGACCACCATTTATGCAGGCATTAATAATGAAGCCAGCTAAATATTTTATCCAGCGAACTAGCAGAAAAAAGCAACTTATTTGTAACGCAAATTAAACGTCTTCTACTTTTGCATCTCCTAACACATCCGATCGGGTGTTATGAAATACCACAATGACTTCGTTTCCAGACTTTTGGACTTTCCAGTTTTATTTTTGTTTTCTGTGAAATTTGCACAATTCATGATAGATTAGGTGGGTTTGGTTCATGGCTTCATACACACAGTTGAACGAAATACAGCTCAGATGAGTCGCAACATTTGCTACCGCCGCTTTTAGATGACTAGGTATTTATTTTCTTCGAATTTATGTACAGTTGTCCAGCAGTACAGCGAAATTTGTATAATTTTTGTACAAAGTTTTAAATCTGAATTTATACAACTTTTACAAAAAAAATAATAAACATTAAATAAACAAAAGGCAAATAGCCAAAACTGTTCGAAATATCGCACTCTATGCTGATAAATGGTATTGCTGTATTTCTGTATTCCTACTGAATTGTTTTATATGTAAATGAATTTATTAAGCTCAGCGAATAAGTACTAAACTCCGACCTTTTTTTAATTGCATACGTGCTTCCAAATAAAAAATATCTTATATAAAAAGTTATAAAAAGACGAAGAAAAAAATAAAATAATATAATATATGAGGCCATAGGGCAAGATAGGCTCCATCTACATAAAAAAAAACCAAATTTAGCAATATGAGAAAGAAGGATCTATAAAAAATAAATGTGGTCTTTTACTTAAAGTTTAATTACACCCTAAAATGGGGTGCCTCGGGCTATTACCGTTTCGATTCTAGTAATGCATTTTAAGGTGCAACTCAACTTTTTTTTTAGTTCTGAAACTGTTTTTTACTCAAAGAAAAAATTAGTATCTTGGAAGTAGTTTATAAATTATTTTCATTGGATAGGCTCGATGCTTTCATTATGACAATTTTCTTTAAATTGGAAAGACTAGTGTATCTCAACTGTTTAACTGGCCAAAATTCCGGAATTGTTAACTCCACAGTTGATAAAATTACTGAATGTTAGTATACTTTTGCGACAGGCTGTGCATGTGCGTTGGAATTAAATTAAAAAATATTAATATCCAATTATTCTCGCTTTCTAGCTCAAATGATTAATTATTATTAAAATTAATGGGTCGATACGGTATTTAGATTTGTAAAGCAATATTTAGAAGCAAGTAGTACAAATATTTATCAATTGATACAACGCATACAGCAACGATTAAGTCGAAGAACACATGCTCATTGCTCTACATAAATCTCTCGTATATAAAGGCAAGTATTATGCATTACGTTTTTCAAAAGTGTATTAGCTCAATATTTGTAATTTTTGATATTAAAAAGATTTAAAAAGAACGCCCTATCTCAGAATTTGATTGAAGAACGCCCTAACTCAGAAAATGATACAAGAACGCCCTATCTTAATGTAAATTCAGTATATCGGCAACTGAGATAGGCCGTTTTTCAACCAAATTCTGAAGTCGGGCGATCTTGAGATAGGTTGTTTTCCAACCACCTGCCGAGATAGTTCGATCTTCCACTCAGCCGTCGATATGCGAGTATCTTCCAGAAAAAGCTTAAGCAATATTTTGTTGCTTAAACAGTCGTTGGTGCTTGCTGGCAAATGGGAAGCTTTGAATTGATTCACTTTAGAAAAATTTTTTGCGCTATGTACACAAAAAAGACATACATACATATTATTGAAAAAAAAAACTGGTTTTAATAGTCATGGTTGTTCCTCCAAAATCAATAATAAATCAATATAGTTCCAATCAAACTTTAGTTAAACTTCAAGCTGGTGCTAAGCAAAAACAAAAAAAAGTGTAGATTCGCTACAAATCGCTTTTCCCTTCTAAGAAAATAACATTTTAAGCCTACATACATGTCTACAAAAATGTTGATTTTTAATTATGATACTCTTCCAGCCATTCAACAATATCTACACGCATTTATACATATTTATGAACTAACACGCGCATAAAGTAAATAGCATGTGTAAGCTCACAGAGATCCGGCATCGAAAATGATTAATACTCACGACACCAACGCGCGTATCATGTAGTACTTGATCTTCAAAAGTGACACAACTCAAAATTTGGCATTTTTGATATTATGCGCTAAAAATGTACAAAGAGCTCTTATTTACCTTTAAGCAAAAGCTGGAGCAAACTTGTTTTATAATTTGTTGAAAAAACCTAAGGTAAAGTCTCCCTTGCCCATATGATTAACATGTGCTACGAAATAGTTTTTCACATTTACTGACGAACGTGTAATTTTGAGTTGTGTCACTTTGAAAGATCGTGTGTGAGTGTGACATACGTATATGTATGTACATATTTACCGTGTAGCTCTGATATTGATGGGACGGATGGGTGACTCGGTCTAATGAATTGAATTTGATATTGGAAGAATAGGGGACGATGGAGAGAGAAAAGTGATCGTGCGTTCGAACACTTGCCGGCCGGTAGATTTTGACACGCATTGTAAACTTATAGTGTGTATCTATGTTACACATGTAGGATATATGTATGTATGTACGTGCATACATACCATTTTCGCTCTCGCTGCTTAAGCGAAATATAAATCCAATGAAAGATACACAACACACGTACCAATTATGGAGGATTGTATGTATGTAAGGGTAAATACCGGCAAAGGTCATTAGCCGGAAGAGTTTGAAAGTGGCTTTAAGTTTGCTTAAATCTAATTAAAGAGTGCTAAATTTAGAATTAAGATTAAAACTGAGTTAGTGAAAAAGAAAAGTATGAATTCGCTACTACTTAGAGCGTGTTTGAATCGGTAACAGCGTTTGCAGCGTGTAAATTTTTAACAAGTATGGGGCTAGTGAAATTTTAGACAAATGCATAAAAAATTTTAACAATCGCAAAGATTGCTGGTGTGTGTAACTTTTTGTTAAATCAATGCTTAAATTTATGAATTGCAATCAACAATGGTAGATGTTTTCTTAAAATATTAAATGTGCGGTTATCAAAAATTTACTACTGTCAAAAAAGATTTCAGTTCACACAGCAGATTGGCTAAACTGTTTACTATAGTAAAAATATTATTCACCAGCTTTCGCCATAGAATTTTGTTACCGATTCACACACGCCCTTAATAAATCACATTCTTTTTGTTATTACTGTTCATATTTTTATGCAGTATTAGATTATTCCTATTTGGAACACATAACCTCAAATGTAAACGCTTTTACCAGCTAACACAAATACAAACTACATACTTAATTAAAATTAACTATTTCTAAATTGTATTTGTATTTTCTACAATTTTGCAATGTAAGGAAAGAAACTTTAAAATCGCATACTAATCTTTAGCTGATAAGTCTTATCCGGCCACTGATCGATACAACTGACTATATTGGTATTTGTGTGCCCTATTTTACTAATTTAAGTATCTCAATGAAATTTTGTAAGTGGCCTATTGGTACAAGGTAGGTTGCTATTGAAAATTAAAGAATGTAGACCATGGCCACGCCCCCATCTGCCATATAAAGTTGTTTTTTTTTTTTTTTTTTTTTTAAACCCTTATTTTTTTTAAAAAAAAATAAAAAAATTTTTATATTAAAACGTGCTCTTTTGAATTATAAATTTTTTTTTTTTTTTTTTTTTTTTTTAAACCGTAATATTTACTAAGAATAAGTACACAAAGTTTTAATTCGAAAGAGTGTGTGTATAAAATTTTGCAAAGCGGACGTGGCGCCTCCGCGCGTGTAATAAAAAAGATAATTAAGTATTTCAAAATTTTAGTAGTAATAGTTGGTAAACAAAAAATAAAATAAAATTTAGTTATGTTGGATGCGGCATATGAATAAGGTTACCATTAGGGTCACCTGTAGGGGAGTCATTGAAGGTACCAATAGGGACGCCATCGGATGTACCAGTAGGGGTACTATGAGATGCACCATTAAGCCAATGCATTAATTTCTCGCCATTTTTTAACGCGTCTAAGTTACGTCGAAGGTTTTGGGAGTCTGCGTAGTCTTTTATAAGCTTAAAGATTTTTTAAGTGTTTGCTTTTATGTAGATATGCGCGTATAACATAAAGGATTATACGTGTAATTCTAAGCAAATTTGGCGAAGAAATCAATTTAGAGTTTGCCAAATTGTTGAAATTTTCACTTTTGCGCTCTCTGGTGGAAGTCTTAAGAAAAAAGCGCAGAAATGGATTCCTCATACCTAAAAACCGCTTATACAAAATTTTAGTGCCTATTTACGAAACTACTGCAAACTGCTAAAAAACATATTTTCGCAATTTGGCAGACTCCAAGTTAATTTTAGACTCATGTTTTCTTCGGCAAACTTTCATAGAATTACACGTAGAACTCGTCTGTGCTATATGCGCATAGTCGGAAAAACCTCCCATACAAATTGACCCGCCCTAATGTATAATTCAAAAAAATTTTTACTCGACAAGACTTACAAGGAATTCACTTCCCAGGAATTTTGGTAGATATTATGAATGATTCGTTAATATTTTAATAGGAACAGGGGTGACTAAATATAAAATTAAAGCAATTAAATTTTTAACTATAACCATTATACAGGTTTTAAAATAGAACCCTAAAAGTTTAAGCTTTCAATATCTCTATTTTATTTAGTTCTGATATTTTGGTTTGAGCTCAAGTCCAGCGTAATTGTTTTATATTTATTTTAATGGTCTTCTCAGTCATTGTGAATGTTTTTAAATATGGCCTTAAGCCCACAGAAAAATTTATTCAATACACAATTGGCAACCAAAAAAGCATTTTCTTGCTCCATGCAATGAATATTTTTTTGTGCTCTAAGTACTTATTAACGGCGTTGGTGACGGCATCAGAAATTGACACATTTCATCATTCAGCCGACATATTCACTTAAAGCAAATTAGACAGACAGTTATGGCGAAAAGAACGCGGGCACGGGTGCGGCAAAGTAAGATCGCACAGGCTAGAGGGCTGTCATTTGGTCGCACATTTGCTGTTAAAAAGCGAAAAGTGGGTAATAAGCACTTTTAATCTTTAGCGCCTACTAATATGAAAAAAAAAAATTAAATATCCTCCTACATTGAAATGAAAATTTTGAGGTCTTGGTCAATAACCTTGACTGATATTTATTCTAAAAATTGTAAAAACTTATAGAACTTTATGGTCATTTTATTCAACTAAACGTTGTACCTCTTATTGACAACCATTTGGTACTTAAGTTACTGCTTTCAGCAACAATAAAAAATAATAAGTAATTTTTAAGCAAAAAACACCTACATAAAAATTTAAGAATACCGTTAATTTCTTCATAATACAATGATCGGATTTACACCAAATTTGTATGGGGCCACCACCTCCTTAACACAATACAGCGGCAGCGCTATATCCAACAATCTATATATGTATGTATGTATCTATGGGGCCACCGCTGAGGTACCACCTTTCCTTTCAAAAAATTATTATAGAAATCAGTTACCGTGGCCCAAAGTTATGCGGTAAGATATTTATGTACATAAAAAAAATAAATCCGACGATTGATAACCTCCTCCTTTTTTTGAAGTCGGTTAAAAATAACTACATATTTAATTTTCACTATGCCTCTCCCACGTATTTTTAACCGACTTCCAAAAAAGGAGGAGGTTATCAGTTCGTCGGAATATTTTTTTTTATTTATTTCTTTTTTATTATTATTTTTTTTTTATGTATATTACCGATAACTTTGGACCACGTCATCCACGTGCATCGGAAAGGTAGTGTCTCAGAGGTGGTCCCATACTAATCTGGTTAAGATCCGATCAGTGGATCATGAGATATATATATATATATTTTTTTTATATGAGAGTTAAAGTCGGTTTTGTTTTTGCTAAAAATTACTTGTTACATTTATATATTCGAGTCGCATAATTTTTTTATTCGAAAGCAACTAGACTGACTGTTGGTCATGCAACGCATGAGGTATGTGCATATGTATGTACATACAAGGGAGCAAGTACATACATAATTTTGAAGCCTTGATCTAAATTTTTCATACACATACATAAGTTTATAAATAAGTGTCATACTTTTTTTTATATACTTGAAGGCGGGTGAGACATCTCTTATAGAAATCGGTCAATCAGCGTCGCTTATTAGCGCGCCAACTAAAAGTCGCGAACCCATCTGCACGCGTTTGTCGCTAATTTATGTTTTGTTTACATGCCGAGTTTAATTTACGCATGTATGTATGTAAATACCATGTACCTCTAGCAATTTATTTTTCATTCTTTTGTTTGCAACAATTTCGCAGCATAAATCACAAATAAAAGACTTACGTGTGCCAAAGTGCCACGTAAGACGGCATACTCAGACATACCACAGATAGACTAGCCATGCACATGCATAGTACTAATTTTTGCATTAGTAAAGTCACACGTGCATTGATGGAATCAACGCCAACAATACATGAGCACAAAGAAGCCAAGCAGAATATGTTAGCACAAAAATACAAAGTAATGTTGGCCAATGGAGAGAATTAAATTAAGAGCGGAAACAATTTATATGTCTCCCAGTCCAAACTAATTGCAGTACAAATAAATATTGATAATTATTTTATAAAATATATAATTATATATCTATATATATGAATGTATATAATAGCAGAAACATTTAGGCTAAATTCTCTATCTGGGCCCGGTCAGACCGTTGCTGATTTCATTGACACACTCAATAAAAATGAACAATAAATGGAGCAAAATTAAGCAAATATTTGGAAGTCTTTTTAGTATATGATGCATATTATTAGATACTTCTAACAAACGATTATATTTTGACGGATTTTAACTATGCACTAAGCGCAGCTGTTTCAGATTTATGTTGCCCATCTTGCAGTATTGCTTGTGTTGAGGCAGTGCACGCATATCTATAAAAACATAAACTTGCATGTTGTACACATGCATGTATACATTTGTATGTCACCAATTGAACAAGCATTTACTGTACACACTAACAAATAGCTTGTATTATTGAAATCAACAACCGGCCGCGCATGTCTGAGCAACGAAAAAAAAGCCAAACTACAGAGGGACATCATAGTCGTTGCAAGGTAGTCGAAGTGACAGGGGCTACAGTAGCACCAATAACAATTTCTATGCATATTTGTCCTATATTTTATAAACTTGGCGCTTATTACATTCAATTATTAGTTGCCACTGCTTTTATTGCTGTCATTTTCTATGCCCATACGTACTTCCAATTGCTATGCAAGAATTTTTACATACACACCATCTTAAAATTATCTTTTATTTTTAATATACTGCATAACTGTGTATTTAAGTGTGCATAGTGTGTTGCAACATGCTCATCAGAATTCTTTCAACGAAAAAGGCTTTCGGGCGCAACCATTTGGTATGGAGGCAATGAAATACAGGTATGTACATTACATAAAATAAATATAAAATTTTTTATTTTCATGGACTTCATTAAAAAAAAAAAAACCGCCAATTATTATTATTCACACATGTACATAAAAATCGTTTCCTTAATATTTTTGCTTCCTTACAGAGTAACTAGTTATACCTTGTAAAAACTAATCTTCAAAATACTGGGTTTTAATAAACATTAAGGACCGGTTACTCAATGTCTGGTTAACACTAATCTCTTGTTGAACATCGTTCATTCGCCATTCAAACTTAGAAAAATTATGAATAAAGCAGGGCCCGCTCGATTTGTTCATTTGTACAGATTTTTACATTTTCACAAGTTACAGAGAGGTGTTGTTTAGTAAGCTGTTATTGAGCTGAAGTCATTCTCGGCAAAAGTTTCTAGACAACACCATTCTGTAGCTGCCAAATGTGAAAATGTACAAATTAGGTTTGTTCGTCGAGCAAAAAATTTGTACGAATTTGTACGAATTATCACGATTTTTGCCCAAATCGCGTTCGTGCAGACCAAAAAATTATCCAACACTCAAAAATTGTGAGAGCAAAGTGACAGTTCTCTTGGAGAGAAGTTGCAAATTCTTGCTGGAAAAAATTTTGCCAGCAAGAATTTGCAAACACGAAAAACATGTGGTTGTGGCGCATGGTTGCATTTTTGTCTACAATAATTTGAATAAATTAGTTCGTTAAATTTAAAAATTTATAAACACGAGCGATTTTTTATGAAAAAAGGAAGTAAATAATTGTTGATATAATTAATTTAGTTAATTCCAATGATTTGAACTTAATTCGGCTGAAAAAATGGTATTCGCAATCGGAATGCAATTGCAACCAGAGTCGATTTAAGAAACCCGACAGCTAGTACGATGAAGAAATTGAAATGTATGTTAAAGAAAGTCAGAACAACAAGAAATATACATGTATATCCTGTTTTTGGCCATCCGAAAGAATTTTAAAAATTCTATACAAATTGTATATGTTTGAAATGCAACCGTGGACGCCAGCTGGCAGCGAAACTTGCAAATTCCTGCAAATTTGCGTTCGTGCAGAAATTTGCAA